AGTTTCAAATATTCAGTTTTGAATAATTTTTTGATTTCTTTTCACTAGATTAGTCCAAAGAGCTTAGTTAGGGAGCTAATTTTGGATTGTGCTTCTTAGAATTTTTCTTGTCAATTTATGTAAAGTTCAGGCTGAAAATCACTTCCATTTGAAATTCTTCAACGATGGTGATTACGTGCAAGCTGTTATGGACCGTAACATTTCCGAAAACATCACGAGAGTGTTGTATCCTAATGATAATGTACGTTTGCTTTATTTCAAGACCTTATCACCTATCACTTATACAAAAAAAATCATATAGGTGTTCATTGGCAAAGAACTTCGTCTGAAACAACAGTACTTCCTGGTTGCGGCTACTCTGCAAGACATCATTAGACGATTCAAATCGAGCAAGTACGGCTGCCGTGATGCCATCCGTGTCGATTTCAGCACTTTCCCAGATAAGGTAATTATAACGCGTGAAATTTGAAAACGTATGGAATGTTTGTCGATTTAGGTCGCCATCCAGCTCAATGATACTCACCCATCAATTGGAATTCCCGAGCTGATTCGTTTGCTTGTTGACATTGAAGGTGAGACACTTACTTAACTTCAAAAGTCGGCCTTAAAGTCTGGCTACTATTTGAAACTAATAACCGCAAAGTCATGTCCTTAACTCTCTACTTATTTTACTACTATATGGTATTTTTTACAAAAGACCGTTCAAATTTTGAAAAAGGCTTTTTACGACGAAACTTTTATGATTTTCCATTTTTTTATCGGAACTTCCGAGGACCATTTCTTCAATTTTCATCTTGAAGTCATTTGAGACTGCATGCCATAAGTCATAAGTCCTGAGTTTTTCGTCCACCTGGCTGTCTTTAGTTGATCGTAGCTGTGTTAATTCCATGTATTGTAATATTTTTCGCGAAGCAGAACGAATTTTCGCTCTGTACAAAGATTTCCAAAGAGGATGATTTTTGCTGAAAAGCGTATGATGACACATTCACGACAATACGACCCGGCGGTGGGTCGTACGTGTTCTGCCATTTCGGACAATATGAC